AAATATTAAAAACATTTTAATTTTATATATTAAAAAAAAAAATCGGGATACGTCATTGAATACTTCACATTATAATATCATTTAAATTAACAAGATATTTGTTATTTTGAATATAAAAATAACAATAATATATAAGGCAAAAATACTAAACAGCTAGTTTTTATTGGCAGTCCTTCAAAAATGTTTGGAATATTCGCTGCTTAAAAATAATATACATAAGATAATTTAAGATGGGTCACATATATTTTTATTATTACAATTTCAATAACTCAATCTAGTCTTGAATGATAATTATCATTTTTCAAAGACCCAAAGCTCTATAGAAATTACTTGTGCAAAATACCACAATTTTTTTTCATCGAAAATATTTACACGTTGTGTTATTACAATATGTAAAATATGTATATTACTATAAAAAACACTATTGGTAACTTTTTTTTTTTAAGCGTTTGTCTTTCCGAACAAATTGAATTATTTATTGAGGTTCATAAAATATTAAAAAAATTGAAGAATAAAACCTAAAATAATATCTAATGTTATTACATTTTCATAATCTAATGTGATTAGAATTAATGATATATATGTTTTATTAACTATTGATAAGTCGGTTAAAGACGTTATAAAATTATTTTGCTTAAGGATAGGTAATACGATAAAAATTTAATATATTTTTAATCTAAATTATTATAACATATTGGAATCTAAATAAATATTCAATTTAAATTATAAATTTGTGAATTAATTAAAAAAAAAAATGATTTCAGCTATTAAAAAATATTTTATTTAAAAGACTTTAACAATATTACTGATCATAATTTTCTAATATTTTTTATTAAATTTAAAACTTTAATTGAAACATGGCCAAAACTTGTTTAATTAAAAGTATATTTTTATTAAATTATTCTTTTTATTAAGGACATATTGTCATATATCTTATTATAGATATAATATACAGTGTTATTTTCTGTTTTGAACCACTTAATTAGTATAAAAATAAAAATAATAACGAGAATATTTTTCTTTATATCTTTTAGTCATGTTTTTATTAATTTATTATTTATGTAATATTTTTATGTTATCCTATTTATGTGATATGGGATATTTCTGATAAAGGTAGCAACTTAATTTTTTCAAATGTGTGTATTACTCAAGTCAGAGAGGAACAAGGGTACCTAAGTTTTTCCCGTTGCGGTACAATACACCGATAGTCCTTATCGGTACAATAAAAAATCAATTTTAATAAACTCTAAACGAGTTATCACTATTTAAAGTTTAGAGTTTATTAAAATTGATTTTTTTTATGATAAACAAGAATAATAAAACACAAACTAAAGTTGATATTGATTTAATGGTTAAGGGATGAAGATGGAATTATTTTTCTTGTCAAGTAGCTCAACAAAGATTTATAACAAATAAAATAATTACATATACAGGGTGATTTTTTTATCATAACCCACTCAATTACTTGCAGAATAATAATAATTTAAACATTTTTTTTTTTTATTATCTTTAGTTACACATTATTCTTGAATTTTTAACTATGTAATACTTTTTAAGTTCATCCCTTATGCCTTGGAGGGGGGTCAACTTTGTTTTTTTAAATGGTAACACATATTTTTAATTTAATAAAATGTTTGAGTTTTTAATTTAATAGTAAATGGCATTTGAATTTTTAATATAACTTTATTAGCTTATTAGATATAAACATTTAAAGTTTCAAAATTTTGAGTTAATATACATGTATAATACACATGGGATTGTAAATACAGGTAGCTAATTGGATTTTTATGACATTGCTGTCTCAGTCACGGATTGTTTATTATCAATTATGATTATCAATAGATATACTTTCTGTATTGTTTGTTAGTGTATTTATAAACTCATAACAATGCTGTGTACCTGATAATATCGATGTTATAAAATACCAATTAGCTACCTATATTTGTAATCCATTGTGTATTATACCTGTATATTAATTCAAAAATTTGAAACTTTAAATGATTATATCTAATAAACGAATTAAGTTATATTAAAAATTCAAATTCCATTGAATTAAAAACTCAAACATTTTATTAAATTAAAAATATGTGTTACCATTTAAAAAAACAAAGTTGACCCCCCTCCAAGGCATAAGGGATGAACTTAAAAAGTATTACATAGTTAAAAATTCAAGAATAATGTGTAACTAAAGATAATGAAAAAAAAATGTTTAAATTATTATTATTCTGCAAGTAATTAAGTGGGTTATGATAAAAAAATCACCCTGTATGATAACACTTATATTTTTAAAGAAAAATCGTGAGACATAGTTAGTCAATCACTCTGTATATAAGGTGTTCAGTAAGTAAGGGAATAGATTTCCTAATTAATTAGTATACCCGTGTGTTTATGAATTTATATTTTCCTTGTTGACGTTGACGGGCTATTTGTTTGAACCTATTTCATGGGTGGCGAGGGGAACGGATGTAAAAAAAGTGCGGGAAGTGCGGTCGTAAAAAAAAAACGTATGAATTGTGTATTTATAAAATAACATTTGATTGTATTGATTATGATTCATGACCGTTTAAATATATAGTGACTCGAGTTAATTAAAAAAAGAAAAAGATAAATAATATTTTTATTACTTTTCTAACATACAAGTAATATACTGTTAATTACTGAACTGTGCATAATATTTATAGTTCAATAGTTAACAGTAGTATTATCAATTTTAATAGGAAATAGAAGTCACCTCAGACATAAAGAAAAAATATCAAATATTATTTTTAAAAACAGTTTAATTATTGAAAATAATTGTAGGGAAAGTTGTCACTCTTAAACTTTAATTGAGTCTTCAAATTAAGTATTCACTTTATTAACTTGAAATTTAGTAGAAATACTACTTGGTATATTGAGATAAATTAGTGAAAAACTCGTTAGGTAGTATTATTTTTTTAAAAAATTATTATTTTATGAGACAAAAAAGTCGAATTTGCGATATTACTTCATGTGATAACTTTTTTAATGTACAAGCTGATTTATCTGAGATTATATTAGATCATGTTAAAAAAATATTATGCATATGTACTTTTCAATTAAGAGAGAGATATTTTTTCTTACGAAATGTTGAATGTATTATAACATTTTTCAATTGGTCTAGCAAGTAATTAAGAAGAAATTGGAGCGTAAAAAAATATATAAAAGGAGAAATCGACCTGAAATCGATCATCTAAAGCAGAGATATATTTAGGAATTTTGCTATCTGAGGTACTCAATTCTTCCACTACCAATGGTCTTTTTATTTTGCTCGTCAAAAAGTTATTCTCTGTATCGATATAAGTTAATTGTTTATTTGAAAAAATAAAAATGAAAATCCTCAATTCTAAAATTTATATTTCAATAACTAAAGTATATTTCTGGATTATTATTATGTTTATTTTTTTCAGTAAATGAACTTATGTAACAAAAATATTTTATTTATAGAAATTTCATACACAAGTATAAATATTCCCTATTTTTTTTATTTAAAAATCCCTCTACGCTAATTTAAATATGTTTCGAATTTCAAATGCTTGTAATGCGAAATACTTTTTTAACCTTTGTAATAAATGACATTTTCATTAATTTGTTCACGCTGTCAAACAACAGCATTATATCGTTCTTGCAAAAGCGATATGAGTGCAATTTAAAACAAATTTATGTGTTCATTTAAATTATTTTTCAATAAATTATCATTGTTTGGATAATAATTTAAAAATTCAATAACTTAGTCAATTTCTGAAAATTGTAGGTTTCTTAAAAATGAAATCTTTATAAAAAACATGTATCCAATCCCCCCAAAAAATGTTTCTACGCGCCTATTACTCCATTAATCTTTGCCTAATAGCAATCAGTATACCAATTACATAATACCTCCCTTACTCAAATATTAATAGCAATGATCTTAAATTAATTAATTGTTTGGGATAAGTCTAGAAAATTACAGACAGTCTATTTTATTTTTATTATTCATGGACCACACAAAATCCACCGACTTCCTTATTAAATAACACTTCTGGTCTTTGAAATTTTATTAGTAACAGTTGTCACGTTGTCTATTTTACATTGACAATAAATTTAAATTCAAATTAAATGATTTAGTAGCTAACATTGTATGTTTAAATTTTAGTTATGGACACGAAATAGCCAAGGGGATGCAGTAGCAACTCTTCTCCGGACGTTCATAGATATTTGATTAAATATTTTTTTTATATTACTATTTTTTTACATTCCTAAAAAAGTTTTAAAAAATGTATTACATCCATTTACAGCTTGTAGCATAATCCACTATCGTACGTGTTGTTTCATATTGTTTGTTTTAATAGCAAATAGTTATAAACTATTATAAGGTTAGTGAAAAATAGTTTTATAATAATAAAATTATTGAAGTTTCAAGGTTATAATCTTTTATAATCTAACAAGAACAGTTATTTTACGTCATTTCTGTTTAAATAACAGAAGTTTTCTGTTTTTTTTTTTTTTTGCTATAATCATACACTAAATATAAAAAAAATATCTACATAATTAAAGAGGTGAAGATTCAAAAAAATTTGATCCAATAATCATTTTGTTTTAAATTTTTAACAACTTTTGCATTTTTAAACTACTTTTAAAACATATTTTTTATTAAGTGTCTCTAATAAGAAAAAAATAATAATATATTTGTACTTTATTAAAATTTAAAAATAGTTATTTTTTAGCTCTTTTTACAAAAAATTTTGATAGAACTTAAGGATAATTACTTATCGAATTACATACATAAAATTTTCGCATACAATTCCAAAACAACTTATAATTTGTCAAACGTTAATTTGTGTAAATACAAATTAAGATTTAATGTGTGCTAGAAAGATATTTTGTTATTTTAGTTTAAAACATTTCTTCCGGATGAAAAAAAAAACAATAAGTACACATCGTTAGAACATCACGTTATGACTTTTTCTCTTATATATTCTGGTATGATGTTATGCTGTTTTTAATTAGCGCAGCACTTTGTGTGACAACCAACTTGCAGTAGAAAATGATGAACAGCTTGTTGACACAATAAGTGCTACCCCAAAGAGTGCAGGTAGACGAAGGACGCGTATCCGGACGGCCTGGAAGGTCCGAGGAAAATGACCGAGGGTAGCGCCCGGAAATTTCATTAAAATACAAAAACAGTAACGGCCGAAAAGGGGTAGACTATAAAAATGGCTTTGGCGCGCTAAAGGGTTTAAAGGCTTGTAACGTCGGCAAAGACAATGGCGTCGGCCAGAGAGTAATTAGACCGTGCACGTACGGTTAACGTTTCGTACGGAAGGGTTGGGTGCGTGTACCGTGAGCGTCGGGACTTATGTACGGGCAGTAGTCGTTAGGCCTTCGGTTTGGGCGAGTGAACGGGTGGCGGGACGGAAAGAAGAAGAGACGGTTGTCGCGGGGATGGACTTTGGTTTGGGTTTCTGGGCGGCAGTGCGGTGGCGGTGCGCCACCGGCGTGCGTCTTTGCGGCCGCGCACGCTAAAGGTATAACCCTCCAGATCGCCGCCTCCGTCCAAGTGCGTGCGTGCGTGCCTATGTGGGCGTCCCGCGAAGCTTTTGGAACACCCGAATATTGCGGTCAACACACGTACACTCGGGTGGCGCGCGTTCGGCCACGCACATACGCCACCGTCTCGCCTCAAACTTCCACTATACCGCCGCATAGCAACGTCTACCATTGCCACTATTGCTATTGTGCTGCCGACTCGACTATCGCTAACCACTTCTCCGGTGGTCACCGAAACGCGTCAAAGTTTCGTGCACAGAATTAATAATAAATCGGTTTTTTTTAAATATTCAGACGTAACGGATTTTTCCACGTGCGTTTTCAGTGTGTGTGTGCATGTGTTTTTCCTTGTTGACGTTGACGGGCTATTTGTTTGAACCTATGACATGGGCGGCGAGGGGAACGGATGTAAAAAAAGAGCGGGAAAAGCGGTCGTAAAAAAAAACGTTTACCGCCGCGTCACCACCGCCCGCCGCCACTGACGAAGGCTGTCGAAACTTTTATTTATTTTCGTTTAACCGTTGCCGAGTTTTTTTCCCCCTGACGACCTTGACACTCTTTTTAACACGACACGTCAAATGTCGTCGTATCATTTGGAATTGGAGTAAAATCATTTTCATCGATTTGTTTTTCACTAACAGGTTAGTAAGAAAATGTTATCATTTGTAACAAAAGTATGTTAGACGTCGATATTTTTTGTTTTCAGAAAAATTCCACTGATTTTCATCAAAGAATTCATTTTAAATATCTTAAGACGATTTTCTCATAATTATAATTTTATTAATAAAAAATCCAATTTGTCGTCAAAAATTAGATTTGTTCATTTCATAACTTCCGAAAATCTTAATTCATTAAATTTATTGACTGATAATAATTTCTTCCTTACATTGTAGTTTCGCTAACAACAAAATTTTACTAAACTTCAATGAATACATTTTTTAAAACTTGTATTAATTTTCTGTGTATAATATTTTCAGGAATATCCAGTTACGTTTCTATCGTGTAATCCTGAAGAGGCGGCTTTACCGGGCCGCCAAATGGTCGTGAAAAGCGCCCAAATGAATGGGGCGCCCAACAGCGGAAACAATGACGCGCTTTCCGATGCGTACGCCAAGATGACCGCTGACATTTTGGCTGAGAGATCATTAGGAGATTTTTTATCTGAGCATCCCGGTGAATTGGTCCGTACCGGCAGCCCATTTCTCGTGTGTACCATATTGCCGACGCACTGGCGGTCCAATAAAACTCTTCCGGTGGCCTTTAAGGTGGTAGCCCTGGGCGAGGTGCCCGACGGCACAGCGGTAACCATACGGGCTGGTAACGACGAGAACTACTGTGCCGAATTGAGAAACTGCACAGCTTTGATGAAAAATCAAGTGGCAAAGTTCAACGACTTGAGGTTCGTCGGTAGAAGCGGAAGAGGTCAGTAACGGACAATATTTATCAACATTTATTTCCTTAAAACAAATGAAAATGAATTTCCCGATTTGACCGAGTTAATATATTTTTTATAAAGAGAATAAAAAAAAAAAACGAATGTATGTTGAAAATGTAAAGCTGATCGCCCATTACAGGAAGAAAACTTCAAACGACTATGTTTAAATTCCATTGTCAATTAATTTCTATACAACATCTCGCCATAGTGTCGTTTGATAACATTTGTGCATGTTTAAATAGAATTGAGGTTTTCTGTAAGATTAGGCGCGTTTATTACATTACACATAATACTAAAAATAAAAATAAAATAAACGAGTCGTAAACGTCATAGTGATGATTTGTATACTTATGTACTCGCACAATGTGAATAAAAATATTCTTTGGGGATCTTCGAATTAAATTTTATATTATTTTTTATTCGAAACGTTTAAAATCCCACATTGAAAAAAACTCGTGTCGTCATGCGGTTAGTTTAACGACAGTATTTTTCTTCTCTGCACATAAAAATACTGACGTACAGAAATGACGACGACCTTCCCTTGTTGTGAACAGCGTGAATATTCAATACTTATATTTATGATATTATTTATACACTGACCGATCATTACTTTTAAAGTCTTTACGATTATTAGTAATTTCAGCTCTTGGGTGTCTATGCATTCTTTATTTAATAAATAACATAAAAAATTGTTTTTGAAGCGAAGAACTTGTATTTGCACAAATTCAATATGTTTCGCAGAAATACACGCAAGTTACTGTTAAATGCCTTTTTATTTATACACTGTTAGTTTAATTAATAATCGGTTAACATTTCCATTTGCTTTTATGACAAAACAATTTTTGTTTCACACAATCGTATTCCTTGATGAAATACTATATTTCAACGAACAAAAAGTGACTTAGTGAATAAAAATTCAAGCGCTATTAATGATATAATTGTTTGTATATAATTATTAAATAATTATGTATACATTATGTCATTATTTGTTCTATTTCTATTATCACCTTATGGTAGATGATGAGTAACAATAAAATTTAGAACTCTTGATTAATATATTCGGCAGTACTAAAAAAAAAATCACTTAATAACATTTTGATACATCATTACATAACTAAATATAGTGTTAATAAATGTTTGTTTTACATATCGACATAAAGAATAATTAAACAAGTTAATTGCATAATCACTAGTAACTTGTCGAAATTAAACTTTTGTTTACCAGCGAGCTCAAAAATTAAATTTTAATAAACACCTTAAGTACTTTAAAAGTAGTAATTTTAAAGAGGATCTAAGTTTATAATATTAATGATTTAAAATATAACAAATTTATAGACTTGACAAAAATATTGTTGTGCGAGTATAAATATCTAGAACAACTACTTTTATTAAGTTTCCATAATATTAATTGGACAACTCTTAGATTTATTTTTAAAATGTTTCAAGTAAGCAATTATCATCAAAAATAATAAGATGAAGTGTGGAAGCAGACAATATTTTAGATTAAAAAGTTCTGATCCATATATATGTAGCTATCATATTAATTGTAAATTCGAAGTAAAAACATTTGCATTTATCTAAAAAAATTGCATTTACAGTTACCCTATGTAGAGTGATTTTAACCTTCATCTGATTACAACAATATAACTTAGAGGCCTAAGTTCATCCATAATTAACAGAAAGATAGGTTTGTCAAGTCTATTTTCATTGCTAATTAAACTGTTTGATTGTCGATTGTAATTATGTATTCATTACAGTCAATTTGTGACAACATAAACTCGACAAACGTATCATTTCAATAAATAATGAATAACTAACCGAGGTTAACTGGCTGCCTAATTATATTGACATGTAATTGACTTTTTGAAACAAAATTTTTATTATAAATACAGTTATTTTAAATAATCAAGATTTATTGAAACATAATAATGTAATGAAAAAATATCCACGGAAGAATTTTGTCAATAGTGGAAATATTCTTGAGAATATACTTCTACATAATATTGAAAATATATTCATAAAGAAATTATTTAGTTTTATTATTTTTTTTTTTAAGAATATTTTATCAAAGTGAAAAAATATTTAAAGTAATGAATATTTATCGAAAATTTTTGATGGAAAAATAACAGTCTTTTACTTGGTTGGGTTTGGTTTGGGTTGGTTTATAACAAATTATCAATAATGTGCTAAACAACATTTGAGTCAAAACATGATTCAATGGCTTCTCAACATGCTTACATTTCTATGATTTCTTAATGTTGTATTTTGTTGTTCAAAGACTAAAAATAATTTTTCTAAAAAAATGCTTTTCTATAGATTCAATCGAAATTTTAGATTTTTAGTCGAAAAATATTATATAATTACCGAAAAGTTTGGTTCCATTTCGCCGTCAAGTATAAATTCGGTTATTTTTCAATATTAATCTAATGCATTTGTAAGCTCAAGAACAAAAAATTAAAAACCATTTTAAAGTAATGTAAAATGTAATAAAAAATAAGTAAGGAGATTACTCTCAAAACATTCTCAAAAATATACTCGAAAAAGATTATTATAATAATTTTACATTATTTCAAAAAAAAATATAATTAAATCATTCGATTTTTAACATATATATAATTTTGGTATGAATTGACAAAGACGAGGAATATAAACATTTTACTTTTAAATTTGACATTGTTTATTTACCAAAGTTTTCATTTACAGGAAAAAGTTTCACACTAACGATAACTGTGAGCTGTTCACCTCCCCAAGTTACCACTTACAACAAAGCTATCAAAGTCACCGTTGACGGACCAAGAGAACCTCGATCTAAAACAAGTTAGTAATATTGTTAATTATTTGTCATAACATTTTGCTTAATCATTGGTTTTCTTATCTAACATTTTGATTTAAATTTAATTGTAATTCTGGCGCAACCAGAGGGGGGGGGATTGTAATATAAGACACCCGAAATGAAAGCATTACTTGAATTATAGTGTGACATTTTTTTTTTTTTTTATCAAGTCAATTTTTGGTTTATTTTATTCGTTTTAACACTGTGATTCAATAAATTTGATGATATCCAATACATTATTTTTATTTATAAAAAAATCGACATTTCTTCTACTGTGAAATTTAATCGGCACGCCTACTCAATGAATGCCGCAAGAATTTTGTACAGTTAGCATTGATGCAGTTTAGATAGGTCGTATGCACGTTGGTCAAAAGCTTATTGGAGTAAACGTGTCATTATAATTATTAGTACCGAGAAGAACGGCATTCGAGTGTACTATTATAGCGCCGCGAGGATGTTAATTTATGTTGGCACTCCACCGCTTACCGCGTCCACCGTACATAATTGTATAATACTCTGGCTGGCGTCAATGTGCTGTGACTCTGGAAACAAATGCGACCAGAATGTGTCCGTAACCGTTCGTTTGAGGTTAAACTTGTGTTTTTTACGACCGTGCCGGCGGGGTCTCATTGCATTTTTACGACGTCCCTCCACGCCGCCACGTCGTCGGTCGCCGTGTCCCTTTCTTTTGGATCGACGGCCCATCGCCAAACATCAAAAGGCGTCTTACCAATCGGTTTGTTTATGCCAGCGCGCGGTCTCTTTAAACGTCGACATCGGTGTTAAAATCAAATAAAATAAAAATCCGGTTTTTTAAGACGGCGACCGCTCTTTCGGCGGCATCGTTTATCTCGGGTAAACATCGTTTTCAGCATGTCGTCGTAAAAAAGCTGCTGCTGCTGACACTGACGCCGTCGGGCGATCAGCCAGCCGACAGACGACGGCGGCTGCTCGTCCGTCCGCGTGCTGCCGTCTAACAAATCTGTGTGAACTTTGCACGGGACGTCACCACGCCATCGTGCGCGTTTAATGATCTTGGAAGCCGATCGCCTCGACGATTCGCCAAGACGTCCATTTATTATCGTGTCGTGGGGCCCGATAAGGTTTTTCGGGCGCGGGACGAGGGGGACGCGGTGCAGAAATGCCGCGTATAGCGGGACGGCAGAATGTGTGGGATAACCACACACGTGCCTATTCTCCGGTGCAGCTGTCGGGCGTCGTCATTAATTGCCACGTTTCCGCCGGTCGCACATAGTGTCGGCTTCGTACAGTGAGTAATAAAGGTCGCGAAACTCCGAGCAAAGACATTTTCAACTGTCAAGTCTGCGACGACTAATGGAAAAGTGCGCGAGACACTGACGAGTGGGTCATGTGAAACGTTCTATCAAATGCAACATTGCACTGTCCCCAAACCAAATTAATACTATTAATTGTTTCAACGTGGTAAATTAAAAAATACGGGTTATTCATAAAAAAATATCTATGAAATAAGTACGTCAACGAAAATTGACAAACCTAAATTTTGGGTTTCGACAAAACACAATCTTGTAAAAACAACACTATCTTCTGTCTTTTATATTATGTTAATGTTGTGTGACTGAGTATTTGATTTGCCAGAATAATCGATTAAAATAATTAAATGATCAAAAACAACGGCAAACTTCAAAAGAGGTTACACAATTTTTTTTATTTATATTCTATAAAAGACGCTTTAAACGCATACAAGGAAATTATTAATGAACGCAGAAAATTATTAATATTAAATTTATTACGCCAAAACGCTTTTCGAGATTAACGAAGTGTGTAACTTAGCCGTTTAATTATTTTAATAGGTTCTTATGATGTCTTTCCAGGACAACAGCAGCAATTCCATGCTTTCGCGTTTGGTCAAAGGCCGTTTTTATCTACTCATTTCGGAAATCCATTGGATCCTTTGAGCAGGACAGCCGATCCATTGGCATTTCGTATGCCTTCCATGGCCAACTGTCAAAGTAAGTGCATATTATTTTTTATTTATCAAAAAATATGTATTAAAGAAATTCATTTCGAGGGTCATTGTTCCCTAAAAAAGTTAATGATTTTTATAAATCAAATATACGAGTAAATCGAATGCCAATAAAAAATATAATTCATTATAATATGACAATTGATATTATTGAAATATTTTCTCACGACAATATAAAGTAGGACAATGTTGTTTTTAACAATGATTTGTTAGTTTTCTTTAATATTTTAATAATACATTACTTTTTCAAAATTATGTTATTCATAAAAAATTCCACGGCGTTGAAAGGGTGTACTAAGGTGTCATGACTTGTTTTATTTTTTCGCAACGAGAAGGGTGTCCCTGAGACTTTTTAGCAAATGTACCTGATAAAACTAGGGCAATAATGTATGTAATGTTATTTATAATATACATTTTTTCAATTGCATGCTGTGTACAAATATTTTATTAGTTAGAAAAAAATAAATTATAGAGAAGGAGAAGTTAAATATTAGTTCATTAGAAAATTTTGTTGCAATTGCGTCTATGTACCTGACAATAGATGATTACATAAATAATTAATTCATCTTCTTTTTCTTCTTCCTCGCCTTAATCCCAACTACTTGGGGTCACTTATCCTAAACTTCCATTTGACACGATCTCCCACATCATCTACGCTCACATCAGCTGTCCTCATATCGCATTCAATAGCATTCCTCCATCTCTTTTTTAGTCTTCTTCTACCTCTTCTTCCTTCAACATTCATTTAATTCACCTAAGTTTTGTTCAGGAAACCTCAAATTATTTGACAAAAATTTTATGCCGGCTATCGACCTGACGCAACCTCATTAGTCGCCTTTTACGACTGGCAGAGGGGCCGTGGAAGTATTCTTTTCCCCTATCCACAGGGAATATAAATAATTAATTCATAATAAGATTATATAACTCAATTTTCATAAAAATTTGTATTAAGGATGTCCGTCAATCTATTGATCATTGTGCATGCCAATGCGAGATAAATTGATATTAATGGCGGCGTCTTGCCGTTAATGACTACACGAATAATGATGTATACAAAAATATTATTGAGATGATACCAGCGCATCATTAGTCGCCGAGAGGTACGCACTGGGCGTGTTTTTGTCTATATGACAAGTAGGTGGCACTGACACCATAATTCATATTTTTACAATCCATTCACCGCAACTGTTGGTATGGTTAAACAAGGATAACAATAATATCGGTAGGGTTTGTGATGACGATGTCCTGCTGGTGTTGTAAATGTAGCAAAGAACCTGTAGCCTAATGGTTTTAGCACCTAAACAAGACCATTTACAGTAAATATTTACAACCATTAATCATATACGCGAAGGTGAACGGGGAGGTTTTACACGTGTTATTATTATTGAACAGCGTACAATATTATAGTCCAGAGTTATGTGTGGTCTATGTGTTCATTCAAACCACCATCATTAAACCAATGGTCATTTAATGTCCTAGTGAAAAGGATTTTTATTATTAAAATGAATTATTGACCCAGAAACGCTACTCGAAATATTATGTGCGTCAACCTACACGTTTAATTGCCACTCAACAGTTTATAAGTTTTCTGATTTGAACGGATTATATCGAGCTGTAGTTTTAGATACATGAAAAAAAGTTTGTGTAATGGGTATGCAAAATATTCGATAGCTTAAATCGAAAAATTCTTAAAAATTTAATGAGACAATTTGTTTTTTACTTAATATTATGATATTATATTAATGCTTACTAGTTGATAACTTTATTAGTTATTTTGTGTTAAACATTCCTTTTCTTTTCACAGACATGGGTCAATTCGCACCACATCATTCATGGGGATATTCTCATTCTACAGCCTATTCAACATGGCCCGGAGGAGGCGGATGTACCAATTTCACACCACCCGCATTAACTACTAGTGGATTTTCTGGTACTGGCTCCGCTTTAGGAACTTCAAGCGTCACTGGTACACCTACAGACTTGCATTCAACTCTGACCGGTCATCATGATTTGTTTTCAAGTTGTATGACAAACACACAGTCTACAATTCCTGGTAAATACGCTTTACAGTAATGTCTTTAGAACATTTATCTTTAGTAAAAATATTTTTTAGGTATTTTTTATTTAAACCAATTGATAAATTAATTTTTTTCTACGAAATAATACCACATATATATATATATATATATATATATATATATTTTATTTATTGCTTTTCATGATTAGCAATGCCTACGTTTTCCGAGCACAGCGGGTCAGTAGCTGCAAGTGGTGATTTGGAGCAGCATATTTTATCATCATGTCATCAGCAGCAAAACCGAAATGGTTTTACGACAAATCGAGGAGGACCTTACCAACAGTCTGCCGGGGGCAATGATCAAGTTATGACTACACCAACGGACTTACTGCCTTCTACGTCATCTGGTCCACGATCCACGTCGGATTCGTCAACAGCGGACTCGCCAACCGAACCCATTGGACCTTCGGACGACATGATGGCCACTGGTTCAAACCACGGCTACGATCAAACCGCTTACCATAGTGGCAGTGGTGGTCATGCGACCACGATACCGGCATCATTACATCTTTATTCTCAGTTGTATCACGCCTCGACAGCCGGAAACATAATCAGGCAACATCCTCATCAACATCATTATCACGGGCATCAGCAAAATGTCAGTGAAGATCATTTGAATGGATCAACTCAACGACCGGTTACTCAACAGCAAGCGGTTGTAGCGGCTGACCATTCGGCGGTTTGGAGACCGTACTGATTTAGGCTTATTTCGGCGTATCCTTTCAACGTTTTATAGACACGTATCAACATTATCCTAAAACTGAAGTTTATTGGTTATATTAGTGTATATTTCTTTCTAATACACGATCAATGCAACTATACGATTTTGTATACATATTGTTGCAAACTTGTAATTAATTTTTGTTATAAAATAATTAAGATGTGCAATACTATATTACTATTATTAAATTATTTATTATATATATATTAAACATGATTATATGAGTTATTCATTTCTACGTTACATGATAAAAACATATAGGCAAAATAATTATACATGATATTATGTATAATTAACCATAAAGAATAATACAGCTAATAATTTTTGTTTTATTTGTAAAAAATTAAATAAATAAAATAAAAAATATTTTTTCTTTTCAAAAAATAAAAGGCAAATTTTAATAATTAATCTAATCGTGTGATGATTTAAAATATAGTTTATCAGTAATTAATTGAATCTTCATTACTATTTTTATAACTACAGAAAATCTGTTTGGTCTTGTTTTATACATTGTATTAAAAAGATATATGAAAATTATATGTTCAAGATTTTAAATATGTTTTTTCCGAATTCTTTTGTTGTTAAAAATTGCCTCGAAACTTTATAAACATTCATTGACAAAAATCTCTAAGCATTTAAAATTTTATTAAATCGGATGAATATGTCTATATCTAATGGTAGTTTTTAAAATATTTTTGACGAAGTGTAATTTAGGAGTTCGTTCTATAGGTTTTCAAGACAAACTTTCTTAAAATCCATAATTTTATACCATTCTATATCTGTTAGGGAATTTCTTCTATTAATAGTAAATTATAATATGAAATTCATGTGAGTTTTATGTTGCACTAATATCTTTGCGCGTCTTTTTTTTTTTTGACAATATTGTAATGATAAAATCATCGAGTTATCAAGTAGAAAAGGTATTGCATAAAAATGTTGTCATAAAAGATATTTAAAATTTTTATAAACCATTTAAGCATTTATTGTATTTCTATAGGTTTATTAAAACCAATGGTTACATAAGTATTTATAGAAAACGCGGTGGTTTAATCATTTTGTAATGCACTGTAAAACCTGATACTGAAACATTGATATGAGTGAATTGTTATTATTACAATAGAAAACCACTCTACCAAGTAATACTACTCTGTACAAGATTCTATCCATTGTAAATGAACTTTAAACGGGATCAGAGGGCGGATACGGTGCTATGCTCCAGTATAAATTCCATAAACCCATGTATTATTCATTACATATTGAGCCTCGCTGTGTACGAGATTCCAGCTGGTTGTAAGTAACCCACACACCCTGCCCGGTGTCGCTCATTCTCGTAGCGCTCTGCAACAACCGCTGGGAATACGACATAGAAGTTATGACGAACAAAATTAATTATCTTTCTTGTGGTAGTAGTACAGGAAGCAAACAGACGGATGAAGAACACACGCAGCGCCATAGGAATTCATAACTTGGAGGTTTCCCCGCGAGACCAATTGGCGGCAGAAAGCTTTCTGCTGGGTTCTGCTCTCATGCTAATATGCCCTTTTGTTTTAATTCCAAAGTCTCATCTCGTATTCACGCCTGTGCACCAAAAACCGTTAATTATAATATTTCTCGCTTAACCGAAACGTGCACATAATACTGTTGCATGGAACGACCATGCATATACATCTTATTGCTCACTAAAACTCTCTAAATATTCAATATATATTATTACAGCTCTTCATTCGTTCGCCCGATGTTCCTAAAAACTTTTCCTATCCAATTATTTAAATCCGCCAAATATTCAAAAGTTAAGTTATCTACAATATTTACACATACACATCTTAGTGTTTACTTAATTTCTGTAGATTTTAAAGGGCGACCATGGAAATAGTGAATACGTCTATAGACGATTAAACTTTGGTGTAAAAAATAATATAATAATCAATAACTTTTTCAAAACTGTTTATGAAAATATGATCTAGATTATAATAAAGTATTGATAGGTCGAATATTTTTTAACGTACACAGTAGGGTGGTTCAAAAATAGTCAATCATCGAAATTTTTTAAAAAATTTCAGGTTAAAAAGCGACCAGTAAAAAAATGTTTACTGGTCGCTAATGTATTTTTAGAATTTTTTTCAAAAATATGACTGACATCATGTGCACATGTAATTATTTTGTGGGGCTATATAACTGATTAAAAAAACGGAAATCCTTTAGTTATTTATTGATTCTATGGCTTAATGCGCCTTCGAATTAAAATATAATCTAACACAAGCCAACAAAACATCTCAGAATTGATGAGAATTTAATTTTATTTCAAACCTGTAAAATTTGGATTTCAGAGAAAAACCCAGAATTAAATATGGATAGTATTTATATGTAGTACATATTTTTGTCATTGCTATTATTATATTAATACTTAGTTTTTGCTCAAAAAAGCAAATATTAGAACAATTTCCTCAAAACTTAAAGGCTCCAATTTTTCTATAAAAATTATTTACGTTTAAATAAGCGCCTGTATATGTACTTCAAATTTCAAATGGTTATAAATATGTTTTTCTTCAGCAGCTGACGTCATGCCAGTATTTAATTTGTAATTAGCTATTTAGAAATTAAATATTTATTACATGTTGTTATTTCACTTCTAGTTATTCTTAATCTGTAATAAATATTTTGTACCTTTTGAACACCTCCTTAAAAAAAAACTCAGTTTTTAACTGAAGTTTATTGGATATACAGTTTTGAAACTGCTTTCTACCTGCATAATGTTATGAATCAAACCCAATACCTACCTATTATTTATGTTTAGTGGTTTTTGAAATGTTATATATCTATGGTATTTTATACAATAGCTATTCAATACAATAAACTTAATTGTGAAAAATCAAGTTTCCCGATAAAAGTCTCAACAATTTTTTTTTGGAACAAAACATTAAACCAATAAAGACTTTTGCTCAATATTTAATCAATGTGATTCCTCTTTTGATAATCACACAATTTCTCTTAAAATAATAAGTTTTTTTTTATATATTTATTTTATTTCTTATATTTTTTGATATTGAACAATTGAATAATTACAAGGGTGTGATTGTCGATATGTTGAAAACGGTTGTTTTAATTGCAATATACACATTAAACTTGCTTATTAAATAAAAAATAGCCTTATTAAGTAAATGACTAGTCGATAATAACTATTAACCTATTAATTCGAAAGTTATAACTATTGAGCGGTGGTGAAGTGTGGTTTATGTTATTTTTAATATTCCGTAGTACTATGCTGCTGAACTCTATATTTAAAAATGTTAATAGTTCAAAAGTTGTTATCAATCACTTATTTATTAATTAGATAATTTTTTATTTTATAAGTTATATGTCATCCTTACAGGTATAAGGGATAAATTAAAAACATACTTAATAATTAATAAATTCAAAAACATATTGAAAAAATAATAAAAAGAATTTGCTTAATATAATTATTATTTTAAGATAAATCAAGTGGCTAATATTAAAAGGATCGTTCTATATATTAAAGTTTACGGTTGTCTCAAAGTTTTATAAAAATTCATATGATAGCACTTAGAAATTCGTTTTATTTGCCCAAAAAATTATAACATGGTTTACACAAATGTATCTATATCATAACTGATATCAATACTTGGTGACTAAGATATGAATATTGTTGAATTATTGTAGCTATTCTTCCGAACATCATTTTTCGCTTGAATATAAAATAAATGTTAAATTATTCTATATTTCTCTACTTTTGAAATTAAAAATCTGTTCACATTCAAATTAATATACCCAGAAGTCAATAAAATATTTCTATTTAATAGCAAAATATATATCTATCTAAAATACTTACAAGGGGAGGTCACAGTGATGGGGTCACTTATTTTCATAAAATTTATATAAATCTAATTTATATTGAATACAAAATAAGAGGTATTTTGAAGTTTTTGCCAATGCGCCTATTAAATCGAGAAAATTGACTTTGAAATTTTTTAACTAGCTTAAATAGTGTCATTTTTCTTTCACAGATAATAACGTGTTGCGGTCGAGTCAAGATTACGTGATCATATGACGCGTACGGATTCGGGATCAAGTCTTATCGAATAGTGTATTTTTCTGTATTTTTTCCTAAATTTTTTCTCGGTATTCTCTTTGAATTATTAATTTTACCTAATATTTGTCATTTTTTTTTACATTTTACGCATCTATAAGTTGTTCAGTAAGTTAGGAAACAGGTAAATTGTTAAAATCAATGAAAACAATAGAAACCCGTTTCCTTACTTACTGAACACTCTGTACATAGTAAAACCTTTCAATAATCTCTCATTTAAAAATTTATATACTTTTACCGGGTTAATATTAAAATAAGTTATATTTATGTGCATAAAATATTATTCATATTTTATCACTAGAAAATCGATAATTTGTACCGTTAAATGTGTTTTGAATGTAGATATCGTATTATAAACTATATATATATATATAACGTAAAATTAATAATTCAAAGAGAAAAAAGAATTAAGAAAAAATCCACTATCTGACGGGGATCGATCTCGTATCCGTACGCGACATAGGATCACGTATTCTCAAATTCAACCATATCAGGTTATTATTTGTGAAGAGAAATGACTTCATTTAAGCTAATTACAAATTTTTAAAGTTAATTTTCTCGACTTAGAGGGGGCATTGGCAAAAAATTTAAAATGCCTCTTATTTTGTATTTAATATAGATTAAATTTATATAAATTTTATGAAAATCAGTTCCAAAATCAGACCCATCACGGTGACCTCCCCTTGTTAGTGTAACATATTATTATTTGATAAACATATAAATATGCATAATATTTTTAAATATACTTCTACAGTGAATATTATATTATTACAATATATTGAAAGTGTACTACTATTATTTAAATACTTAAAATATTCAGTATGTTTTCTGAATATAAGCAAATGGTATATTCCAACACAGTATAAAAATAATTTTAAATAAAAAAATTATTTTTGTGAAACAATATGATTAGTAAAACATTTTTTAAATCGAAAATGTATCAAAATATTTAAATTATATTCCCCTGAAGTTGTAATAACAATACAATTTCAAAATTATAAATAAACTGTTGTGCAATTATTTAATAATAGTTTTATTTATCATTTTAGGTTTATAATATATATGACATTATACAAAAATATAAATAATTCATAATTGTTATCAGAATAACTTCCAACTTAATAAACATTAAACATGAACATTTTTTTACATTTTTTTTACATTTTTAAAATTTAAAACACATTTTTGTTATTTATAAAAAAAATTACTTATTGTTTTTCCCTTGTACTATTTAAAAAAAAAACTGAAATTTAAAAACCGATACCCTTTAAAAGAATCTAAACCAAAACTGAAATAAACCCTAAAAATAAGGAAATCTGAATACCTTAACTGGGTTATTTCTAATTCTTGTGGCAATATATTTCGATAGAACTAAGTATATTTATTGTAGATTCACTTAAGTTATTATACACCAATAAAATTTTTTTAAACTTTTATGTACCTAAGCTTCATAATTGAAATAATAAGTAGAAAATATATTATATTCTATCTAGCATCTAAATCTCAGAACTAAATAAAAAGATCCATGAGTTCTAGATTTCTCTCTGAAAATTTTCAACGTTACATTACTCTTGTATGGTTAAATTTTACATTATTGTATGAAAAGGAAAAAAGAAATCTTTGTTACATGATTGAATGGGATATGTTATAAAATATCCCCTTTGTAATATTTTTACCATTCAACGGCAATTTAAATGATAATGATCTTAAGAAGTGATTAAGAAGTTATTGAAAACATATTCCAAAAAATAATCTTTTGATACTTTTTGGGTTTAATGATCAATACATTTACTTATTTTGATATTCATTGATTTAATTTTACAAAAAATATCAGGAGAGTATAAGTTGAATTTTTGAACAGAAATAATTACACACTAAAAAAACTTATTTCTAATGTTTAATTAAAATATTTAAGTCTATGATAAAAATGATATAATAAAGTAATAAAATAAATGGACAACTAATTCATTATTAAACATATTACTCAAATACAGATGTACAAAAAATAACACTCAGCGGATAAGTGAGCTAAACATAATCACGTTATTTAAATAACTATGTGCGGTTTTTCCACCGTTTGTTGACTCATCGTGCTTATTGTTGAAAATTTCTTTTATTGAATTTTTACAATAACTATTAAAAAACATATTCGCTATATGGTACAAAAGTCATTATTTTTATACTTTATAACAATTATTATAGTCATATAAGTATATCAAAAATACAAAATGATACCTTAATTATATCTCGCGAAAAATATTAGAGCTAAACACTCTTTTATTATATTAAAAACATTTTTTTAACAATTACATTAATAGTATATTTATACCCTAAAATCGAATTAACTTTTGATTTTCGAACTATCCGATTTATTCGATTGTAAAAAAATATGTTTAAAAATGATCAAGTTTATATATCAATAAACGCAATCGTAATTTTTTTTCAATTGAATAATTCTTATAATATAAAAAAAAAATGGGTTGCAATTTGAAAACCATTACGTTGATGTAACTTTAAGATAGAAGGAAAGGTAGCAGAAAATGATTTTTTCGTATCATGCAGTTTAACAAAGAATCATTATTGTTTAAAATAAAATTATAATTAGGTCTAATATTTTCAAAAATATTTTATGAAGTATAATTTGAAATCACGCTGAAGAGGTTCTTTTTAATTTTGATAGGTTATAATTAGGGGTCAGCAACGATATCGACTGATATCGAAGATCGGCCAATATTCACTATGATGGAAAATCAGCTTTTTGAGTTTTTACGGGGAACGAGAGAATTTTTTTCAAGAGAAATTTTCAAGGGTTGTTTTCGACTGGATACGATTTGTAATCTTTTAACTTATTTTTAAAAGTATCAGTTCAACTAGACCTGTGAAAAAGTGGCGATAAACGTAAAAACAAAACAACTTATAAAATTAATACCTTCAGCTTCGAAACAAAGCTAATAACACTAGTCAATTTTTAAAGTATGACGTGATTTTTATTTTTATTCAATTCAGGTAAATGAGATTTTTAAGTTTAATTTGTAATATTGGGTCAGTGTTTTGGTTTTAACTTATATTTTTTTCCTTTTAAAAAAATTTCATGATGATGAGTAGTTTTTTTTTTGTTTTTTTTAACAAATATACGAGATGGGTCTAAAAGCAAAATAAATAATCACATTTTTCTTTTAAATAATTTTTAGGTGAAAAAATTATTAGTGATTTGTTTAAAAATGTAACGAATATGGACTAATTTAAATTTGTTTTTTTAAAAAGCTAAAAAGTGGTTAAAAATTAAATATTTTATTTCAATGAACAATTAAAATTACATATTTAATAAGTAATAGTTAATAAATTAATTAAATTAAGTAAATACAAAAGTATTTTAAAACTTAGATCTTCAAGACAAATAATTAAATAAATAGTTTATTAAAAATGTATAATATTAATTACATTTTTTAATTTTGGTAGAGTTGTTATTGTTAGAGTTTACAATTTCTTCTCCAATTATAATCTAAAGTATTTTTTTCTCCACAATAAATTAGTATCGGGTAAAAAATGTTTTCAAAATATTGTCACTGTAGTTGTACTATACAGATTATAAATAAATTACAATTATTTAATAATATGGATACTATTAAAGCAAAATTAAATGATTTCATAAGATATGTGTTTATGATATGATTAATTGACACTAATTTTAATATCTAATTATTAGTCATGGCTATTCAAAGTATATACTAAAAAATAGAGATAATCTTAATTTTTAATTTAAATAACTTAAAAAATAAATTTTTTTTTAGTCTACTGTATATAAAAATACAAACTTTATTTAAATATATGACACTGTTTGAAATAAAAGAAAAATAATGAGTGTCAATGTACTTTTTTCTACTATACTCGTCATTATTATAAAAAGTTTGATTAGGAAAAAAGTAAATCTGTACATTTTTGTTTGCCTTCAGTGTTTTTCAAATAGAAAAAATTTATTGACAGTACTTTGTTAAGATTATAATAAATTTTCTAACAACAAAAGTAAATAGCTTTTTAAAAAAATATGAATCATATCAAAATAATAATCAGTCGTAAATCAGTATTGCGCAAATATATTGTCAAACTATTTTCTACAAAATTGATTTATGTAACTAAATAAAGCTGTCATAAGATATATTTTACTAAAAATAATGATATGTAACATATTTTAAAATGTGTTCAAATCATTATTTTATATTAAAAACATTTGCTTTTAGTTTAAATAGTTACTTTATGTATTTATCTTCAGTAATAATTCTTAATCAAAAATTATAACACTAATTTTTTGTAATTCAAAAATAAACAGCGAACAAATATTTAATCAGTAACATTTTAAGTTATAATGAACTAAGTAGATAAGACAAATATATATAAAAAAACTGTAGTTGATAAATTTTAAGATTTTATTAAAATATTTGAAGTGATAAAGGCAATTTTTGAACTGCCAAAAATATGTATTTTAAATATATCGTTACTATTTTGGCATTGTACATATTTCCAGAGACTTTGGTAATTATTCCTTTTTAATTAACTATTAATTTACTGACTATAATAAAATTTTATTTTGTAATTTGTTTTCAAAGGGTTCAGAAAATAACGATGGAATTGATACGCGGACAATAAATGAATGCATAACATTATTTGAAATAAAGTCCAATAATTATGAATTTCCAGATAATAGAATTACACCAGTTATACATAATAGTCGAGATGTCATAGAAAAAACCTATAAAAATATCAGTAAATAATTAATAATTAAATTAATAAATAATTATGATAGGGTAATAAATAACAAGGCTGAGTATAAACATAGTTAAATTATAAAGTAAAATTAATTTAAATAAAAAAGTTTCTTCAGAAGATTTTTTTAACACTAAACGCTCAATTTCTCTTAAAATAATAATTTTTTTGTGAATTTTTATTTGTTGGCTCTGTTAGTTACACATGTATGTGTTTATATTCCTATTTATTTGTTATAAAATATTTTTTATGTTCATTCCTTATGTCTTATAAAGGTATAACTTTATTTTTTTCAATTGCAACATACATAACTAATTTTTTTATAGAATAGGTAATGATATAATTAAGAAAATGACTAGTCGATAACAACTTTTAGACTAGCATTTCACAAATTATTAACAATTTAAAGTAATGTCTAATATTGAGGAGTAAGTACTGCTATTTTTATCACTAGACATTTTTTGGTCTCACATGTTGAATGTCTTTTTTAACATTAAAATGTTAATAATTACTGGTTAAATGTATTTATTTAATTTAAATTAAAAGTATTTATTAATTGTTAGAAACATGACAAGTTATGAATACAAATTATATATTTCTAAGAATATTAACACAATTAAAGAATAATAAAAAAAATAATAAATAAAAAATAGAAAATAAAAATTCTAACATAATTCTTTAAAAAATATTCATACAACTTAAATTTTACAAGTTAATAATTTTTTTCAAATTGTTGAATTTTGACGAGTTAAAAAAACAGCCCTAGCCTTATTTATAGCCTTGCTAAAGTATTAATTATAATTTAATTAAAATTTTTTTTTTTAGATAAGAAAATAGAAAGATTATTGAATCTTTACGAAATCAAAAATACTTTTGAATTAAAAGTTGAAGGTAAAAGATAAATAATTTTTGTAATTTAAACATTAATTTATGTCATCTATTGTTATATTTTTTATTCATTTTTACCTTTATGTCAAGTGGACATTATCCACTCATATAAAAAACATAATTATTGTATTAAAGAGGACAGGAAAACCTGTACAACTTGGCAGTATCAAATCGAATCTCGAAATCTCAACGTTTTTTTTTTTTTTTTAACACGACCGGCCTACATGCGGACCGCCCCGGAACTACCGTTAGGTATTGCCTCAGGGCGGCCCACGCCGTCTCTAAAACTCACACCACCACGTTGTGAATCAGCCCGAAATTAATCAAGAGCTGATTCACAACGTGGTGTGGCCTCCCCCGTTAGCCGGATCCCAAAAGTCGGGATCCGTTGCCCGGGTTGCACCACGTGGAGGTGGGGGCAGGACTTTGCGAAGGGGGCATAAAATAATTCACAAACATATAAGCACACTTATACCTAAGGCACCGGCCTAAACCAGCGCCTTAGGTCCTCCTGTACCGGGCGGCGCGGCTGCCGCTGCCTCAGGCGTTCGGCTTCCTCCTTCCTTTTCAGGACGGATTCCGCGAACGCCTGGACGAGCCTCCACGCCTCCCGGCTTCCCAACATGAGGTCCACCAAGGACCCGACGCGGATCGTGGACCCCAGACGGGACTCCAGCGAGTCCCGTTCCTGGGCCCACGCCTCGCACCGGAAGAGGGTGTGCAGAGCGTTGTCTGCCTCTCCCGGGCGATCCTGGCAGTGGTCGCACGTCGGCGCGGCTGCCCTCCGAATACCGTGAAGGTATTCGTTGAAGCAGCCGTGGCCGGACAACACTTGCGTGAGACGGTAAGACATCTCACCGTGTGTCCGGGCCACCCACCTCTCCAGGCGGTCGGGTCCTATGAGGGACCTGGTCCACTCGCCTCTCTTCGTTTCCTCCGAGAGGCGAGCCCGCCACCGGAGCATGGTGGTCCGCCGGAGCGCCAACCGGTCCTCGGGTTCGAGGGGTCGGTCGCGCTCTCGGCGGAGCTCATGTCCGGCGGCCCGTTCCGCGGCTAGCAGGTCGGCGGGCGGCAGTGACGACAGTATTCCCGCCGCCACTCCGGAGACCGTTCGGTAAGCCGACACGGTCCGGATCGCCGCCCGCCTCTGCACCCGGAGCAGGGCTTCGCGGTTCCTGGCCGAATACTCGAGGGTATCCGCCCAGACCGGGGACCCGTACAGGAGGACCGAGTGAACGACGCTGACGAGCAGTCTGCGCCGCATTTCCCTCGGTCCTCCCAGATTGGGCATGAGCCCCGCCAGGCTGTCCATGACTTTCTGGGCCCGTTGGGCCGCACGAGTGATGTGCGGCCCGAACATCAGACGTTTGTCGAAGACCAGGCCCAGATACGTCATGGAATCCCTGAGCGGGACGTCCACCCCCAGCACGGTGAGCCGCGGAGGGGCGAACTTGTACCTGCCCGTGAACAGGACCGCTTCGGTCTTGTCCAGGGCGAGGCTCAGTCCGCTCCCCTCCTGCTGGATCCAGGCGGTGACTGCGCTAAGAGCGCAGTTCGCCCGGGATCCAGCTTCCTCGGACGAGGCGCCTTCCGCCACCACCAGCGTGTCGTCCGCATAGCAGACGATGCGCACGCCCGGTGGTAGCGGAACGCGGAACACCGCGTTGTACGCGATGTTCCACAGCAGAGGCCCGAGAACCGACCCTTGCGGGACGCCTCCCGTCACAGGTCTGGTTCTCGGGCCCGCGGCGCTCTCGTATGTGATGACCCGGTCGCCGAAGTACGACCGGATCATCCGCCCGAGGTATGGAGGCACCCGAATCGAAATCTCAACGTGTGTCCAACCAACCCAATTATACCATTCGACTAAATTTTTGGTATTTCTATTTTTTAATAAAATAAATTAATATTTTAAAAATGTTTTATTTAGAATCACTCCCAAAGCAAATGGATGATTTTTTGATATTTTTTACAAGTCAAAATAAAAATGAATTATTTAGAAAAACGGTAAGTAGTTTAGTGTAATTTATTTTATTTTTCTTAAAAAATTATTGAAAAATAACAAAAAAATGTATATAAATAAACAGACTCCAAGATTAACACGAAGTATGGTAACTGACTTGATTAAGTTATTTAATAAATGCAAAAAAAATAAAAATGGTTATTTTAATACATGTGATATGAAGATTTATATTGATAATCTATCTGTTAAAGACTTAATGGTTGCTTTAAATAAAGCGAATATAGATGATAGATTAAAAAATACATTTTTAGACAATTTCAATATATTTACATCTATAACTAAAAGTAATTACATATTTTTTATTGCGCATTAATAATGTATTACACTATATTTAATAATCGAATTTTGTTTAGAACTCGAAGTCAATAATGGACAACTCCTTGAAATAGTTTTGAAAACATTTTAAAATAAGTATTAATTTCATTATGTTCCCTTTATTTTTTAACATTTTTCAGTTTAGAAATTTCATGTATCAAGATAATTAACTTATTCAAAGAAATCATCATTACAAGAAATTTTTTTTTAATTTACTTATTACTGGAATACTTTTATTACTTCTATTACTTTTCAAGTTCTTAAATTTATAAAGTGTTATGTTAATATGCATTTTTTGGATCTTGTCTTAAACACATGAAATAGTAAATATTTAATGTATTCTAAAAAAAATTTACCATGAGTCACCTAAAGTTACTTAATTTTAGGGATAATGTATGTAGTTCTATGATATACTAAAATTTTTTACAAATTTTCCATAAAACTTAAGTACTAATAAAATAAATGTTCTGTAATAAATTTTTAACAAAAATGTCATTAAAATGAAATTCATTATGTATATTATTTAATAATATTATTCAATGGGTCCTGTATGTATATATATATATATATATATATATATATGTATATTTTTAGTTATCCTATTAATAAACGAATATTAATTTAAAGTTTTGAACTAATTTGTAGTATATTGATAAGATTTATAAATAAAATTACTGTTAAAAATTATTTAAAATAAAATATTTTATTCATTATAACATCACTGTTTTTTTTTTGGTTTAAACCATACCACCATACAATATCCTCTCCGTCCATCCCTTTCCACTGTTACTACCTTACATGGTATATTTGTTCATATCCTTTGCACACCGCTTTTCCACAGTCCACCAAACGCAGCGTGATCTTCCCAGTGGTCATCTTTTTAAATATATGACTTTAGCACTTTAGACTAGTAATTTCCTTGGATTTTAATACCTACAGTTTCAATATATTGTATCAAATAAATTCGCTATTTTACGTATTCTCAAACATTCCTATATTAAAGTACTGATCAACCACAAATGATAGTTATAGAAACATCGTTACACAACCTTTTTTTTATACGTGTTTAATTATTATATTATACATATTATCGTGTTAAATTAGGGGGTGTGTGAGCGGAGCCCCTATGGTTTTGTGAGATTTACACAATTTTAGCATACTCTAGATTTTTGGTTGGACTATTCAAAATCTAATAAAAAAATGTCATAATTAATTTTTATTACAATATTCTCATTTTTAAGTTAATTAAGCATACATGTTTCTATTTAAAATCTTATGTTGATAATATTTTAAGAATGAACCGAATTTTTTCCGAGAATTAAAGTACACATAGGACGCTATGAACTTAAAAAAGATAATTGTATTATGTTTTATATTTTTAAAGATCGTTATTATAAAATGAAAAAACGTTTCATTATAAGGTTTGATAAAAAAAAAAATATTTTCCATTTATTCAGCAAAATTCCTGTTTTTGCAAAGTATTACTTTCGATTAATGATGATCATTCAATATTTTATTAAATTATTTTGGTTTATAAAAAAAAAATTGACAATCAAAATTAAATGAAAATATTTTGTTTAAAAATCATATTTTTAATTATTATTCAGTTCCTTTTGAAATAAATAAAAACATAGAAGATAATACTTTTCGACTAAAAATAAGTCTACATTGTTTCTATATGAATAAAATTCTGTATGATAAATTTTGTGGCGTGTAAAATAATATGAAAAAAAAAAAAAATCTAGTGTCCTACGCCATAAAGAGAACTCTATCTAACGGAAAACTCGTACAAGATTTCCACCCTTTGAGTTTCTTTTCGGCGTGCTCCTTAAAGAAATTCTACCCTTCGGCTTTCTTATAGTTTTCTTGGCGTGACCCTACTTTTTCTCCGCCCTCTTTTTCACAATCAAAAAGTAACGTTGCTCCACTTGAATTCCGAGATGCCGCTGTTATTTTCAGTTTTACAGTAGAAAGACGCTTTCTTAACACAATCGATTTCCCGCGAATAACAATAAAACCTATTGAATGAATTCAATGACTCCTGAAAAAATGCATAGATATTAAGTCGCAACAAGCTCAGTGCNGTAGAAAGACGCTTTCTTAACACAATCGATTTCCCGCGAATAACAATAAAACCTATTGAATGAATTCAATGACTCCTGAAAAATGCATAAATATTAAGTCGCAACAAGCTCAGTGAAAATACATTTCAGGTGCTCGTCGACTACAATCGGTGGTTTTTGCACACTCATACGAGGAAACGCCTCTCTTTGGGACCGAACTACACTCGGCCCTCGCCTGAATCGACACCGACGCGGTTGCGGTTTTGCTCTAAGCCACCGCCACCCGTTGTGGTGACGGTTGTGATGTTGCGGGGAACCCTGAAAAGGAGCAAAAAAAGCACTCAACGATATTTGGACGAAATGATTGGCTGCGGTTAACCGCAAACGCCGACCAACCACCAGACTGCCGCCGCCTCCCCGGCGTGCGCTTCCCACAAAATATACATATAAATATACTAACCGCATAATATTTACGAAATGATGATCCACCGGAAAGATGTCGGCCACCGCAACTTTTCCAGTTTGTCGTCGCGTGCAGCTCAAAGCGCATTTAGTCGCGGCCCGTCAAATGTTTCGGTTTACCGTTAAAAAATCACTTTACGCGTGTCAACCTGTGCATCGATTTATTAGTTGTTCCATATTACTTGCACAGTTTTCCACTGGAAACATTTAAGGACTGCTATACATTCTTTTAGTGTTTGTCATAATCGAAAATCGAGTGATGTTGATTTATTTAGCTTTTACCAGTGCGAGAAATTGTGTTTCTTGAGTTAAACGTCTCATCGATTTAAATTACTAATATTAAAAACAAATTATTTTTTTTTATCAAACAGTTTTAATTTTTGAAAAAAAAAAAAAGTTTACGTTTGTTACGAGTGTTTATTGATTAGTGACGTGTATTTGAAATCATATGGACTTATTAATAAACTAGTGAATGTTATTACGTCATTTAACGAACGGTCGTATTTTATTGTAAAAAAAACAAAAACAATATGAAATTTTAGAACATATCTCTTGGTTGTTATTATTATTTGTGTACGAAATACTGGATTATTAATATCACGACCGTCGTTTAAAATTCGAATTTAACAGTTGTCTTTGAAGATGCGTTATGAAGACAATTATGTAGAATTACCGAAACGCACGTGGATTATATTGCGCTCTGTGTACTACTCGTATGCAATCGAATAAATGTAGAAGTTTAGTGTGGAGCCGACGGCGGTATAGTTTCAATGTTTAATATTGTTGTTATTATTTATGAGTTGGCCGTTCGCGTGACTTCTTGTTTATAATATATGTGATTTATTACCCCTAGCCGTCGTCTACTTCTAATAAATAAGGGTCGAAACATTCAGTGTACAGTTTCCATATAAAACGGCACCGATTCGCACCCCTAGAAAAGCTATGCGTTTAAGTATATGTATTATATAGACATTTTTCCTCGTTTCGTTTTTGAATCGTATGCAATGTAAGATATGTTATGACATGAGGCGTTGCACGAAAAAAATCAGCAATCTCCTTATTTTTTTTTAATGTTTTACAATTTATGAAACGGCAATAATAATAGTTTCAATATGGAAAAAATGGTTTTCCCCGACAGATAAATGTATTATATTCCTTAGAAAATCATTATTTGTGTAAACGTACAATTTCTAAATTGTAAAATATAAAAAAGCAATGATTAAAGAAAGGAGATTGATCACTTTGCCGGGCAACGCCTTCATATATTAGATTTCATATGGTCACTATTAAGGCGTATTTCAGATTGTCAATTAGTCCGGAAACAAAAAGGTTGTACTTTTGAAATTTTTGCAAACGAATTTTCGATTTCGATGGCATAACAAAGAAGATTAAATTTATAAAAAAAAAAAACACTATGAACTTTTTAAATAAAACCGCCTGTGTTCTTTTTCTAATTAAAAAATGAAGTGAAAATCCGTTACACTGTGCCAGTGGTCGGAACTTTGGAAAAATGCGCAAAGTAAGTGTTCCACTTGACTATCACCCCAAAGAGACCCTAAGATAATTAATTAAATTTATAAATATTTTCAATAAAGACTGCCAGTGGCAGCGTTCGTCTGGTAGAGATATAAAGAGGACGAGTGAGGAAAAAAGACTTTAGCAAAAAAAACGCGGTGTTTACGCACGAAAATTGTTCACTTAATTATTATTATGATTAGCACTTCAAAGATACACCTCATAATCACCCAATCCCTTAACTATATTGCTATGGACATCTTTATGATTTCGCCGGTAAGTTTTATCGACGACAAAACTGAATAGCTTTACAATTTAATTAAACCATTTAATGATCGAATAACACGGCAGAGGACACAATAAAAGCACTTTTGATATTTCGTTCTTCATTGATATTTTATGTAAAATACTATTTTGGCACCTAAAATATTCTATCGAGTAAATTTAATAATTTCAATGTATTTTGAATGGCGTGTAAAGTATGTGAATGTGAAATTTCAAAGAAGGATAGAATAGACGTTCGTGTATAACATGTGATTGAGCAGCTTCTAGTAATATTTTTTATGACGAGATACACAAGGGTGTAGTTGAAGGCTAGAGAGATGAAAAAATGGCTCGTGTGAATAAATGATGGGCCACAGAGGGAAGTGTAAGGCACTGATTTTTCAAAGAATAAAGAGAAACCCGAGTGGGCATTAAATAATTGACGACTACGAAAAATATTCACGTGGACCTTTCTTGTAAGCCCCAGCGATTCTCTGCTATGTAGATACTCTTCAGTGAAAAGTGCCCGACAAACAGGAAGTCCTTTGTGCAATGTAAGTTTTTACTTTTCATTTAAATTAAAAACTTGTTCCGCCCTTCATTACATAAACCAAAGAATTTGAGACTCATCGTACAATCCGACTAAAGTACAATATGCTTCACAATTATTTGTAAAAAAACGGGAGCACGGAAAAGTATTAAAAACGAAATCGACCAATTCGAATGTTGTAATTTAACCGTAATATTTCTTTCTGATGAAACAACAACAATCAATTCATGCAGCACGGAAGATTTTTTTTTTTAAACAAACGGTACGCCATACATTTTAATCAAAAGATGATGTCGTATTCTGATTTTTATGCAAGAAAAAATCTATTAAAAATAATATATGAAAACGTTCAGGAAATGAATCTAAGCTCTGGTTCATATTTATTATTGACAGCAAGAAAAATATAAAAATGCCCTTGTGTACCAAATCCCGGGAAACGCATTTATAACAAAAGGGTACGGAAAAGCACTCTTAGCAATGGCACTCCTTAACGGCAAAAAATTCATTTTCGTGTTTTGTTTTGTTTCCTCTATTGTTGTTTTATCGTTTATTTTATTTTGTTTTTTTTGCGTGTATACCCTTTATGCCATCGAGGGTGAAAATTAATGGAGGTTATTTCCTATGTAAAATCATTCGACACTATTTTCCAATTCTATACCTAATGAAGTAGCTTGAAATCGACG